TTAGTAAAGAATTAGCAGTCTCGACAGTGCAGTTGTAATACTTTTATTTATCTATTTTAGTTTTCTGACACAATCTCACTATGTAGCCTGGGTGGGTATAGAATACTTCTGTGACCCTAAGAAGTTTACTCCAGCTTCTATTAATTCCCCACTTCCCAAAAGCAACCATTGTTCTCATTTCTATTATCATAAATGTTTTGTCTATTCTTGATAGTCCTATCAATGGAATAATGTATGATTTAATTTGTATAGTTTTTCTTTCATGTTATTTTGAGATTTATCTATGCTATCATGAATAACAATAGTTTATTCTTTTTACAGTAGTTAATTACTTAAATATATTGAGTTGCTTATTTATTCTTTTACTGATGACATCTGAGTTTGTTTCCAATTTTGGCTACAGATGAAAAAGATACTATGAACATTGACATACAAGTTTTTCTGGAGGATGTACATTTTCACTTTTCTGGTTAAACCAAGGAATATTGTTGGATCACACTGCAGAAGCACATACAGTATTAAAAACAGCTGCCAGGTGTGGTGGCACGTGCCTTTAATCCCAGCACTCAGGGGGCAGCAAGAAGCAAACACCTACCCACCAAACCCCACTATCTTTACCCTCAATCTAGCCAGAACCTAGAACCCTAATTTTAAAAAAAAAAAAAAAAAAAAAAAAAAAAAAAAAAAAAAAGGCAGCTGCCAATTTCCAAGTGCCAGATATTTCAGATCATTTGATGGTCAGTCTTTTTAGTATCACCTCTTACTGTATTTATCACAGTGTGCTTTTAATTTTAAAAATTTCATTTCCCTAGTGACCAAAGACATTGAATACTTTTAATAGTGCACATGATTTCACACATATTCTTCTGCAAAGTACCTGTTTAAGGGTTTTTGCCTATTTTTTAAAAACATTTCTATTGAATTTTTGTGTCTCTCACACAGAACATCTTGATCCACTTTACACCCCCTTCCAGTCCATAGCACCCCACTGGATTTCATATAGTCTGTCATTTGTATTAAGGCCTATCATGTCAAGTTAGTGTGATTTCATACAGTCTGTCATTTGTATTAAGGCCTATCATGTCAAGTTAGTGTCCCCAGACATCCCTCAGTGCCCCAGTGCAAGTTTATCTGAGGTTGAGTTAGCCTGTCTAGAGTTCCTCCCTTTAAGAAGATCATATCACGCCGGGCGAGGTGGCCCATGCCTTTAATCCCAGCACAGAGGCTAACCCAGCAGAGGTAGGCAGATCTCTGTGAGTTCAAGGCCAGCCTGGTCTACAAAGTGAGTTCTAGGACAGCTGGGGCTACAGGGAGATCCCGTCTCAAAAAGACAAAAAAAAAAAAAAAAAAAAAAAAAAAAAAAAAAAAGATCAGATCTTCCTCACCCAGCAGTAATCGCTGCTGCCAAATATTATTCTACTAAGATTGGGGCCTACTGTCCATTTCCACAGTTCTGTGTTGGATTTTTGTCTGCTTGAGTTTACATGGATTTTGTGTACGTTGACACCATTGCTGTAAGTTCATATGAGAAGGGTTCCAGGAGCCTGTAGGACTCTATTTCCATATGATGATACGCCTCCTCCTTGGATCTTATAATCTTTCTGCCTCCTCTTCCACAATGGTCCCTGAGCCCTGGGTAGGTAGATTTTTAATATAGGCGTTCTGTCCAAGGACCCACACTCTGTAGACTCTTATTTTCTATGGTTTTGGCCATTTGTGACCTTTGTGTTCCTGGCCCTCTTTGCATGAGGGAGCTTCACTGATGAGAATTGAAAGATGCATGAGTGTTCTCTTTATCTCTTGTTAGTCTATGTTGTGTGAGCCTTAGGTATAGAGGCTGCATTGCAGATGTGCCACTTAAGCTTGGGAAATTCACAGACAATCTGTGTATGACTAATTGTGGAACTCTGAAATAATCTGTTGAAAATGAAGCTTTTTGATGGGTGGTGACTGGGATACTCATCTGTAAATTTAAGGATCCATATTTTGCACATAGCAAGAAATTATATTTGTCTAGAGATGTGACAGCCTTGGGGTTTTCTCTAGGATCACACCCTCTCCAGGTATGTGTATTTGGCTAGGTTTACAGTACCACACATGAGTTTCCTCCCACTGAGTGGGCTTTAAGTCTAATTAGGTAGCTGTTGATTACCCCCAAGGTAAGTGCCACTAACTGCACCAATGTTATTTGCTGCACTGGTCACTGATGTGGTTATTAGGCCTTGAAGCTGGAGTTGTACCATCAATTGCCATTCTCCCTTAGCACCTTGCATAGTGCTCTTCAAAGCTATGAGAGCTAGCCTTCAGGGGAGGAGGATTCCAGGTCAGTTCCAGTTCCATTGCTCCAAATCCTGTGTTCAAAGTATGTCCTGTCTTCAGGAATACAGTCTGACCATCAAGTTCTGGGAGGCAATCCAGAGCTGTGGCAACAGCCTGTGTAATTTTGGGAGTCTCTTGGACTACCCTGGCCAACAACCCAAAGGAAGGTTTCTCCTGTCTGGAACTGTTTCTTGTTATTCTTTGTGCTTTCTGTGTTTTGAAATAATTCCCAAAGTTCAGTGGATGTTAAGTGTTTGGCTCACACCATTTCCTCTGGGGTCTTTTGTGCTTTCATATAAATTTTTAAGGATGGTTTTCTGTGAAGCATGTCATGGGGATTTTGATTGGGACTGCACTGAATCTGTATATTGCTTTTGGTCAGATAGTCATTTTCATAATATTAATTCTTCCAATCCATGAGTAGGGGAGGGAGGTCCTTCCATCAGATTGAGGATGTTCTCCATATCCTTAATTTTTTATTTTTATTTTTAAAAATGGATGTTGAATTTTATCACCCATTTTCTGTATCCACTAAGTTGACTGCATATTTTTGTTTTCTTATTTTGTGAATGATGTTATTTTTACATATTTAATCTAACTTTGAATTACTGGGTAAGACTAATTTAGTATTTATGTTACATTTTTAAAACTTCTGTATTTTGCTTGATAATATTTTTTGTTGACATTTTTTCTATAAAAAGTCAAATAGCTGGGCATGGTGGCATATGCCTTTAATCCCAGAACTTGGGAGGAAGAGGCAGGCATATCCTTGTGAGTTCAAGGCCAGCCTGGTCTACACAGTGAGTTCAGGTCAGCTGGGACTACAGGGAGACCCTGTCTCAAAAAGACACACACACAAAAAAGCCAAATAATAAATATTTTAGGTTTCATTAATAGCCATATTGTTTTTGCTAAAACGATTTTATTCTTCAGCTATCTAGTATAAAACCAGCCACAGACTGTGGGAGACAGTCTTGAGCCTAGGGTGAAAGTCTTATTGACAGCCATACAGCAGGCCCGAGGCAACAGCCTGACAGCTGGAGCCACAAGGAATGCCTTGTGACATTTGCTCCCATTGGCAGATGATGAGACTGATGCCTAGAGCTTGCCACTCCCTAATCACCACCCTTGGAATCCAAAATTGCAACACTTAGATATTGCAACAGTCAGGGTCACATGGTTTCCAGGAATCCAGGCTCTGTAATCTAAAACCCAGTATGCTAATGAGGCATCCTACCCGCTATTCTGTGATTGGACGCTAAACCTGTTATTCTAATAAGGTATCCTATTTGCTGTGCTGTGATTGGACCACTACCCCTATATAAGCTTGTGCCTTCCTGCAATAAACCAGACCTGTGTCACTGAACCTGGTCTCCTGTGCCTGAATGGGGCTCCACTGACACAGTCTCTTCACCAGCCCTGGGGTCCGGCACCGGGCAGAAGTGGCAATGACAGGAGGCAGCATAGGGCAACCAGAAGAGCTGCCTCAGCACCAGGCAAGCAGAAGAGTGGCCTCAGCCCAGGGCGAGTGGAGGAGAAGCCTCAGTGCCCGTGAGAACGAAGGGGCGGTGCCCATGAGAACAGAGGAGCAGCCGCCACTGGCGGTGACCACAACAGACAATATATTAATTAATATAAACACATTTTATTTTCAGATTAGATAGGCCCAATTTGGTCCCCGGGATTTAGTATGATGCCCTGTGTCTATGTTCATACAGTCTGTCTTCTTTTCATATAATGTCCTTTATTTCACATGATGCTTATGTTACAAAATGAGTAGATGGATTTTTCTTCCTTTATTTTCTGAAAAAGTTTCTTTAAAATTGATATTATTTCTTCCTTTGGTGTCTACTAGCCTTTATCAGTAAAACATATAGGAATACTTTAAAAATTTTGTGTACAAGTATTTTGCCTGTATGTATGTGTGCCACATTCATGCAGGGCCTGCAGTGGCCAGAAAAGAGCATCAGATACCCTAGAATTGGAATTATGGACAGTGGTTAGTCACCATGTCTGTGCTGGGAACTGCCTGTAACCCAGGGGTACCTCTGAGGGGCACCTGCACTCACCTGTACATACCCACACCCAGATATACACATATACACATAGTTAAAAATAAAGTCTTAAAAAATTAAAATAAAATATTTTACTTTTTAGATCTAGAAGTTCTGAATTAGTATTATTCAGATAGTATTATCAACATACTATAATGGATTCAGTGTTTAATTTCTAGTGCTAACCATATATTAATAGAGTCACTAAACTAAAAACCATCTCTTAATACTTGCAACAAATCACTTTCTTTAGAACATCTAATTCTACCATGTTAAATAATTCTACTTATAAAACAAAAATAATAATTATCTATTTCATCAGGTTAGTATGAGGATTAAATGGATTATAAAATATAAACTGCCTACAACAGTCCCTGATAAATAGTAAATGCCCAATAAGTCAGCCATTATTGGTATGATTATGAACTTATCACAGAATGATTTACCAACTCATATTACTAATTTTTAAAATTAAATTTTACAAAAATAGCAGATAATATGGTATTATGACTAAAAATGTAAAAACTCAATGTACTTTTTAGGTATATAACCATGACCTGTTTATAAAAAACAAAGACGAGGATACTAGCAATTTTCACCAAAAATAATGAAAAACTTGAGTTAATTTTCACTAAAAATATATTTTAGAAGTTCCTTTAAAAATATTAAAATATAAAATTTATTAAAAAACAATAAAGTAACAGCTTCTATTAAATATGCACTACATATAATAAACACAGCACAGTACCAACAATTCCATTTTTCATGACATCGACATCTTCTCTTAATTACAAATTTTCTCCCTACAATGAAAAATAACAGATAAGGAATATTAAAACCTTATGTTGATTGAGCATTAAAATCTACCATAACAATCATGCACATAAAGGAAAAGTGGGAAATATTAATCAACTGAAAAATAAGAGTCAGAAAAAGTCATTAATTGATCACATGCATATAAAAAGCAAGTAATTCTGGTTTGGAGGATAAATAGGAACACAAAGCTAAACCAGATTTTAAACTCAAAGTAGGGTACCATCAAAATAAGCTGCAGGGGCTGAAGAGATGGCTCAGTGGTTAAGAAAAAAAAAGCTCCTGCTGCTTTTCCAGAGGACCTGAGTTCTGTTCCTAGCACTCACATCAGGTGGCTCACTTTCATCTCCAGCTCTTCTAGACTCTTTCTAGAAAGTGTCTAGACACTTTCATCTCCACTTTCTTCTAGACTCAGAGGACACATGCACTAACAAGTGTACAGACACACGCTTAAAAATAAATATTAAAAAATAGGATGTTGCTGGACGTGGTGAGACATGCTTTAATCCCAGCACTTGGGAGGCAGAGATAGGCGGATCTCTGTGAGTTCAAGGCCAGCCTGGTCTACACAGTGAGTTCCAGGACAGCTGGGGCTACAGGGAGACCCTGTCTCAAAAAAAGGATGAAGACATCAGTGACACATGGTTTGACTAACACACACACACACACACACACACACACACACACACAGGTAAACTGATTACATGAAAAAGAAAAAACAAAAAAAGGCAAAAAAAGAAAAAGGCAAAAGAAACGTTTTCACATAAAAGCATCACAGTATACAGAAGAAGGAAATTAGAAGACGTAGGAGATTTTAAAGAGGGAGGGTTACACAAGGAGTTATGGAGATAAAGGAGAAGAAGGAACTCAAGATACGTGGGACCACAGCAGAAGAAATTATCAAGGGAGAAATGGGAAAATGGCAACATTTTAAGTGGGGAGGTCGTGGAGGGAGGATAAGACAGGGAGAGAGGAGAGATAAATAATGCCTACTTAGTATAAAAAACATAGGAAATAATATTAACACAAAAACCTATTGAAAAATTCCACATAAAAAAAACTCTACATGAGTCTGTGAGTACAGCTGAAGACTATATAACAAGAAACCATGCCAGACAGGAGAAACCTTCCTTCGAGTTGTTGGTCAGGGTAGTTCAAGAGATTCCCAAAATTACACAGGCTATTGCCATAGCCCTTGATTGCTTCCCAGAACTTGAAGGTAAGACCCTATTGCTGAAGAGAGGACATACTTTGGACACAGGATTTGGAGCAATGGAGCTGGAACTGAATAGAGTTTTTTGTTAGCTTAAAGTTACAAGTATTAACTGTAGTTACTGCATTGAAAACTCAGTAGGATATCATTCACAATAAACAAAATTACATGAGTATAGAATTTCACTTTGGATTTTTAGAATCTGGTCCTAAGTTTAAGAACTCACTATAGTATTCTGAATATTTTAATTTGGAACTGAACGTCTATGACAATTGAACAGGTGAAATGACTTAAAGTAAATCAGGTGCATCTATATATTTCAATGATTATCAGGATAAGAAATAATTCTATTAGTTGTATGGTAACTTTCAAGTCCTACTCTCATAATCCTTAATTGACTGAGTATTTGGAAGGCCAAAAATAAATATGATTACTTATTAATGCTTACAATATAGCAAAGTGGTTAAGAGGAGAGACATATTCTTAACGGCTATACTGAGAACAGTAATATCACTATAATAGAAGAAATACTAATTACTATTATCTACTACTACTAAGATAATAGTACTTATCAGAGTTTTTGCAGGGATTAATTTTCTATAAAGCACTTAGAATAGTGCCTGGCATACAGTAAATGCTATGTATTGTTATGATCACAAGCTCTCATTTTTTTTTTGTTTTGTTTTTTGTCAAACTTATCTTGTATAAATCAGGCTCTAAGCCGAGTGTGGCAGCACATGCCTTTAATTCCAGCACTCACAGGGTAGAAGCAGGCAGATCTCTTTGAGATCCATGCCAGCTTGGTCTAAGTAATGAGTTCCAGGCCAGCTGGGGCTAAAGGGAGACCCTGTCAATAAATAAATAAATAAATAAATAAATAAATAAATAAATAAATAAATAAAGGTTCTAGCTTGCCAAAATAGACTCATATATATCTATGATGTTATTGGAATAGAGCAGAGGTTCTTATAAGGAGCAGGACTGTCCCTCAGAACACTGTCAAAACCTGTAAAGGTACTTTTTGGTTGTTCCTACAATGAGGAGAAAGATATCCTGCTTCTGGGATACAATAAGGATAATGCTGCCAGTGATCTGTATTTTACAGGATCCTTCCACATGAAAAAACCACCTGGCTAGCAAGTCTACTAAAATTTCCTCAGTGTGTTTATACTTTCCCATTCTCTGAGTTACCTACTTCACATAGCTTTCCTGCTCTTAACCTCTAATGCCTTACCCTGACTTAGCTAATAACTTTGGTTATTATTTCAGTAAGAAAAAGACAATCAATGAAAAAATTACTCTCCCATCGCGGACCTTCTGCCCCACTTGTCTCTGTACCTACACACTCTGCCTTCCTTCTCACTGTAGTAAATGATCTGCCCCCCGTGCCTTTTACACAACATCAACTCCTCTACTTCTCTATAATCGCATCTCCAACCTGCCTGAAGGATGAGACTCCTCTACTCTGGGCTGAATTTTCAGTTGCCCTGCCTACTGGATTATTTCTGCCAACTTGCAAAATACTGTTTTATATCTTAACCACACCAAACAAACAATAAAAAAGACCATTCTTAGCTCCCTCATGTAACACAGGGCAATGAAAAGGCCACTGTGGTGGTTTGAATGAAAATGTCCCCCATAGGCTCCAAGTATTTGGACATTTTGTCCCCAGATGGTGGCGCTGTTTTGGGAGGTTTTAGAAGTGGCTATCCTGGAGGAAGCACGTCACTGGGGTGGGCTTAGAGAGTTCTTAAGCCTTACAGGATCTCCAGTTTCTCTCTTGCTTCCTGTGCTGTGTGATGATGTGAGAGCTTAGCTTCTCCTGCTCCTGCTCCAGCCACCTCCAGCCACCATGCCTCCCTGCCATGATGGACTGTAATTCCCCTGGAACCATAAGCTCAAATAAACTCTTCCTTCTATAAATTGCTTGGGTCAGTGCTTCTATCACAGCAACAGAAAAGTGACTAATACAGTGACAAATGGCCAAAGTGTAGAGAATGAGTATACAGAGTGTGGATCCTTGACAGGACTCCTATATTAAACTCCACCCATCCAGGGCTCAGGGATCATTGAAGAAGAGGGGGCAGAAACATTTTAAGAGCTAGGGAGGAGGTGCATGACCATATGGAAATAGAGTCCTACAGGCTCCTAGGACCTTGCTCATATGAACCTATAGCAATGGTGTCAGCATGCACAAGACCCATGCCAACTCAAGCAGACAAAAACCCTGCATAGAACTGGGAAAATGGACAGCATGCCCCAACCTTAGCCAAAGAAACTATTGGCAGCTGATTACTGCTGGGTGAGGGAGAGTTGCTCTTTTTTAAGGGAGAGCAATGGAGATAGGCTGACTAGATTCCAGTGGATGAACTTGTACTGAGGGATGTCTGGGTACCAAACCTGACTCGATAGACCTTAACATATATGACAGAATTCATGAAATATGGTGGAGGGGGCTATGGGAGGTGCGGACTGGGGAGGAGGTATAAAGATGATTAAGATCTTTTGTATGTAATGCACAAAAATTCAATAAAAACATACATAAAAAACCATCCTTGATATTACAACCTTATTTGTCTTCTTTACTCTTTATCAGATGAGTTGTCTTCATGTCTGAAATCTTCAATTTCATGTTTTGTTTTGAGACAGGGTTTCATGTAGCTCAGACTGGTCTGGAACTCACAAAGTAGCATAGGACAGCCTTGAACTTCTGACCCTTCTGCCTCCTCCCAAACGCTCGCTGAGAATCCAGTGAGAGCCACCATGCAGTACTCCAGATAGAACCCAGGACTTCAGGCATGCTAGGCACGCACTCTAACAACTGAACTATATCTCCAGTCCTAGAATCTTCAATTTCTTTAATGTTAAAAGTAAAATGCTACAGTAATTTTTTTTTCGATATCCTGACTTTTGTTTGTTTGTTTGAGACAGGGTCTTACTATATAGCCCTGCCTGACCTAGAACCTGATACACAGATCAGGCTGGCTTCAGAGTCACAAAGTCTGCATGCCTCTGCCTCTTGAGTCCTGGGATTAAAGGCATGCACCATCACAACCTGCCTAGTCCCTTGATTTAAACCAGCATTATAGCTATAGGCTGATGATACTTCAATTTTTTGTGTGTATGTGGGATGTGGGAAGGTATAAGCATACCATAGCATGCATGTAGAAGCCAGAGAACAACGTAGGGGAGCTGGTACTTTCCTTCTACCATATAGGTACTGGGGATCAAACTCAGGTCTTCAGGCTTAACGGCAAGCACCTTTATCTGCTAAGTCATCCCACAGCCCCCAATACCAATTATTTTTTATTTTATATTTATTTATTTTTATTATGGGTATGAGCGTCTTGCCTGCAATGTATCCAAGTGTACCACATGGGTACAATGCTGGCAGATGTCAGAAGAGGGCATCAGATGTCCTGGAACTGGAGTCACAGTTGTTAGCTGCCATGTGGGTGCTGGGTATGAAACCTGGGTCCTCTGTAAGAGCAGCCAGTGCTCTCAAACTTTGTCATCTCTCTAGTCCCTTGATATCCAAATTTTAAATCTTCTTGCCTCTGCCTCCCAAGTGCTGGGATTACAGGTATGCAACACCATGCCTTATGCAAATTACTACCTCTGATAATGTGTGACATACATACCTGAGTTAAACCAGTAGTTGTATGCATAGAAGACTTTTTTAACAGTCTCCCTTCTTTGTTTATGTATCTTAGCATTCCACTAAGAGTGTTAAAGTCATTACTTTCAGGACTATCATTTTTGAGGTTATATGTGAGAGGTTTAAATGAGTCTGTCTGGGTGAAAGTCAAAGGCTGTTCTAATTGCATTTTCTTTAAGTCCTGCAGCAATTCTTCAGAGAGATCCTCATTACCACGACTTTTGAAACTAAGGTCACTGGCACTAATAGAGTGACGTAGTTTTCTGCACTTGATAAAAGACATCTGAGAATGTTTGGTAAACTTTGAATCTTGAGTATCAGGCATAATTTCTGTTAGAGGTGTAAAGGAGGTTGGTAGAAAGTTGTTATCTTCTGTGTTTTCATGTCCAGAAATTTTGGCTTGCAATCTGGTTAATTCTGATTCCTGTAGAAAAATTGTTACACAGTACATGCTCAATATATTTTTTTAAAATCAACTACTTATAAAATCATAGACTCTTGGGGCTAGAGAGATGGGTCAGCAGTTAAGAGCACTGGTTGCTCTTGCAGAGAACCCAGGTTCAGTTCCCAGCACCCACATGTGGCTAACAACCATCCCGAACTGCATGCAGTTCCGGGGGATCTGACACCCTCTTCTGATCTCTGTGGGCATTGCACAACGTGGGTACACCTGCCTACATGCATGCAATACAGTCATATAAATAAATAAAAATAATAAATAAAACATTTTTGAAAATCATAGACTCTTAGAAGTCACCTTTGTCTCAGGATGGGAATTTTTTTTTTCATTTTGTTACAAAATCATGTATCGTTTTACCACTCTGTTCTTTTTTTTTTTTTTTTTTTAAAAAAAAGGGCTTCACACTGATACTTTACATAATAGTTTTACACATTTATTTTATTAATTTCAAACTCCACACAAACTGGCATAATCAATTCAGGAAAATAAGTAGACTGAGCTATTTTTAAAATGTCTACATTTAAATCAAGTTTTT